CTAATTTAATTTCAATGCAATTTGAGAGTATGCTTTCTATGAAATTTATCCTTTACTAAAGTCATTGATATTTGTCTTATGTCACAGCATATGGTCTTCCCTGGAGGGTGTTCCCAGTACATTTGTGGAAAAATGTGCACCCTGTTTGTGGGAGGGTGGTATTCTACAAATGTCAGGGCAAGTTGGCTGATGGCACTAAATATGTTACATGCTCAGTGATTTTCTGTTGAATTGTTCTATTAATTATTGATAGTGATATCTCCAAATATCCAATTGTCTATTTCTTTCAATTTGGTCATTTTTTTCCATCATGCATTTGAGTTCTGTTGGTATATACATATTTCTGTTAATTCTGATATATTGACCCTTTTAGTATTTGCAATATCCGTCTTTATTTCTAGTAATATTTTTGGTTTCTAAGCTCATTTAAACATTAACAAAGCCATTCCAGTTTTCTTAATGGAACAGTTTCCCATATTTTCAAGCTATTTGCCTCTGACCCTAAAGGGTGCCTCTGCGGGCATTATATGGTTGATTCTTGTTTCTTAATCCATCCTGACAATTCCCACTTTTTGATTCAAGTGTTCAGTCCCCTCACATTTAATGCACCTATCAGTATAGTTAGACTGCTAGCTGCCATTTCGCTACTGGTTTTCCAAATATCATTTTCTTCCCTCTTCCTCTTGCTGCCTTTTGTGTTAAATATTTTTAACGTACTATTCTCTCTCTTGATTTTTTTTCACTATATTTTATTGGTGTGACGTTTTAATGATTGCTCTAAGAACTATGATAATATAGTTCTATGGTAATATATAGCATATGATAATGTATTACTATGATAATAGAAAGCATCTCGGTTTGTCACAATCTTCCTCAAATTAAGACAAATGTAATTCTGATAAAAATAGCTTTGTCCCAGTAGAGCTTCCCTTTGCTACCCTCTTTGTGTTACTATATACATATGCATGTATGGTACAACCCAACAGTTCTGTCTGGGAATTACAGTCTTACACAATTGTATGCCATTTACAGAAGATATATACTTACTGTGGCAGGCAAATGCATCCCTAAGATTTCCATTCTCTAAAATCTAAGCAAACACTCATCTTGGCACTGCTGTGCAAGGATTTTGCAGATGAAACTGAGGGTACTAACAGGGAGATTGTCCTGGACTTTCAGATGGGTCCAATGTAATCAAAGGAGCCTTCCAAGGCAGAAGGGGAAAGCAGAAGAATCAGAGATGCAGTGCAGGAGAGAAGATGAGGCAGAGGGGAGCTGAGAAAGGAAGGGAGACAGAGATGCAGTGCAGGAGAGAAGATGAGGCTGAGGGGAGCTGAGAGAGGAAGGGAGACAGAGATGCAGTGCAGGAGAGATGAGGCAGAGGGGAGCTGAGAGAGGAAGGGTGGCAGAGATGCAACTCATTGTTGCTGCCTGTGAGGATGAAAGAGGGGACCACAAACCAAGGAATGTAAGCGGCTTCTCGAAACGATGATGCTGGTCAGTCAGCAAGGAAAAGGGGACCTCAGTCCTCCCACCACACAGAATTGACTGCTGCCAGCAACCTGAGTGAACTGGAAGCTGATTCATCCCAAGCCTCCAGAAAAGAATGCAGCTCAGGACACCTTGATTTTGACCTTTTAAAATCCAGAGCAGAGAACCGAGCCACATTATGCCAAACTTCTAAATGGCAGAAGTGCGAGCTCAGGGTGGGTGCTGTTTTAAGCTGGCATGTGTGCAGTAATGTTACGGCCGCAGTGCATCACAGTCATACTTAGCTACATGCTCCCCGATTCTGGTTCTCTTCATGTCACCCTATGGACTCAAGTTACCATTTGATGTTAGTATTTTCAGCCTGATGAATTTGAGTATTTCTTGTAGAGCAGATCCACAGGCATCAAGTTGTCCTGGTCTTCCTGACAGTGTCTGGAGCTTCCTGAAAGCATGGGAATTGCTCTTGAGCATCCCATCCCCCCGCTGTCCCTGAGTCAGAGATCCTAAGGAAGGTTACACCAAGCAGGTCAAGTAGGCTGTGTGTGGGCTGGGGGTGGGTAGGTTTATTTTTGGGCCAGATATCAGAATGTTGCATCCTCAGCTGCTAGGACTACAGGCACATACTACTGTGCCTGACCTTCAGAGTGGGCTGGGAATTGAACCCGGGGCCTCCTGTGTGACCTCAGCCTGCTAAGCTGCAGTATCCAGAGAGTACTACCATGGCTGGGCCCCAAGATTAGATTTAGGAGTATCAGACTTCCTGGGGACTACCCAGAGGGAATGGCAACTACCTCTGGGTTTATTTCTTCCAATGTGCCAGCCCTGAATTTGAGTCATAACCCCACGATGCTCAGCCATCTTGAGCAGGCTAAAAGAACTCAAGAGGGACAGGAATCACCTTCCCCGCTCTCTTGGGAGACCAACAGTCAGAAAGGACCTGAGCTGGCAGGGAATTCTGCTACAGCCTGTTCGTGCTCAGGCTGGGGTGCTTGAAGCTTCGTGAGCCTGAGACTGGGGTGACCACTGAGACTGGCTCTGGGGCCTGAGCAGCTGCTACTGGGGCAAAGTCATACAGCCTCCGAAACGCAACCACCAGAGGGTGTGCTGTGCTTCCTCTTCCGGGTCAGAGAAGCTCACAAGGTGGAAGGGTGGGTGAGGGAAAGGCGGCTTTCCCAAGCTTTGCACACAGAACTTACTCTCTGGCCTCACCTCTCTCAAACCCAGCTCACCTCTGCCATTCACAAAAGGACAGGGTTCCCAGGTTCCTGTCACTCTCATGTGCCCTCCTCCTTCAGACATCATCAGTTGGTTCCCAACCTTCCTCATTGCAAAAGTCAGGTGAGCTCATGCACATCAAAGCACCTGGACAAAAGGCAGACATTAGCTATTGCATGCACAGTCCTCTCTCATATCTGAAATTAAATCCCCAAGGCACACTTAATCCACTGTTCATGGAGTGCCCATATCTGTTCATTTGTGAACAGCCAGGACCACACATTTTCTTGGGGGTATTAGGAGCACCAAGCAGCAGTTCTAATTTTATTTTAGTGTTGATCCCATGTAATTTTTCTCTGTATGTTTAGATATGGTCTCACTGTCATGATCATCCTCTCTTGGCCTTCCCCCAAGCTGTTTTTCAAAAAGTTTATTTATTCCATGAGAGACACAGAGATGCACACACAGAAACAGCATCCCTAGTAGGGTCTCGACACTGCAATCTGCCCCACTGATGTACTGAGGGAGGTCTCCCAACATACACCAGTAACCTTGCTATATGAGTCATCTCACAGAATGTTGCGTTTTAGTGCTCGACCACCGTCCAGCCCCCTTACCTGGCTCTTTTTGAGACAAGGTCTTGCTATGTTGCCCGGGCCAGCCTTGAGCTTGTGATCCTCCTGCCTTAACCTTCCTGAGTTGTTGGGATTACAGGCACACACACCACCATGCCTGGTATTTAGGTCAGACTGGGAATCAAACCTGGGCCTCCCAGGTGGTCCCAGTCTACAGAGCACAGTACTCTAGCAGCCACGCCCCTCCCCTCCACAACACTGTAACACAACAAGAAAACCCTCATTAGATGTGGTCCCGGGACCTTTGACCTCCAAACTGTGAGCTGAATAAATCTTGAATTCTTAGAAATCATCCTGTTTCAGGTATTTTCTATTATTGGCAACATAACAGACTAGAATATGCCTCTATCTATAGCAAATACATTTTTTTGAAAGATTTTTGTTATAGGGTGCATGACTTGAACCATGGTCCACTATGTGGGAGTCTAGTGACATAACCATTATGCTATCTGCTGGTCCCCAGCAAATACATTTTATAATAACATGGCTCATTCCAATATACACACTTTATTTTAAAATATGCCACTGGTACTTGGGAAGAAAAAGTAATTTATTTGCATTGCTTCCACTTTCTACTGTAGTGTTAGGACTTAACATAAGCATCACTCTTCTATTTCCTATTTACAGTTCATTCAGAATATTACTACAAATACAATATACAATTTTTAAAAACTTATGGGGAAACGCAATTTTTGTCTTTCTCTCCTCTTTACAAGCTTTTCAAAATCATTTGACTTAAAAGAAAATTTATATGGACATTTTCTGTACATATCTGAAAGAGCAGAGATCACACCGATAAAACCTAAAGAACTTTGCACAAATACAATAAAATACAGAAAACAAAAAATACAGATGATGTTATTTGGGGTACAAATATAAACAACACAGTACCATTTGAGTAATTTAGTAACATAATACCCATCTTTTACAGAAATAAAACTGCAAACCTGGAGAATGCGCTGACAAATATTAAACATTATATACACAATGAGGTAAATGTACCTTGGTCTCTCGAGAGGTAATTTAAGTTTAAAGCAACTGACATTTTGAAGCATCTCCTTGACATATAAAGAAATATCAAACACCCCAAGCTATTGGCACGATGTGAAAAAGGGATATCAAAACACAGTTCATGATATTCAATTCACAAATCTTGTTAAAAAATAAAAGCAAATTCACTGAAATTCTTTTTAAGTTCTAAGAAACAGGCTGAATGTTATTAACCATATTTTTTAAAGTTTACATTTACGAATAAGATTGCATAATGAGATTGAAAAGGTGAACGTCCTGACAATCCTCACAACATCCATAGGAGTCCAGCATCCCTAGAGAGAGAAGGCCTGCAGGTATTCCAGCATTCCACATCAGACACAAGGAGCTGCAGGACATGTCCAGAGCTATTCGCAAGGGTCTCAAAATATTTCAACTGGAGTTTTCTGCTGAGCTGTAACAGAAGGTTATTTGAAATCTCCACCATTTGGAGCCACAATACTGCCACCGTCAAGAAACAAAAGTTGACTTACAATCATTCTTTCAGTGCAAGGATAAAAATAAGCTTCTGATATGATATGTCTATGACTGATCTTACTGTGCATTTAAATTAGCATTTTGCCATTCTGTTTCACAAAATCGTCTCTCACCTGACGGTTCTCAGACATAGAAGAAAACAGGTAACTCACACATGGACTGCAAAAAGGCCAAGCAACCACTTTCATTTTGTGATAACTGAAATGTGGAATTTTTGATGGCCATGGCACTGTACACCAACTCAAGGCACTTCTTGAGTACTAGCATTACAGCAGAATTATAGGCTTAGCTCCCCTGGCCTTGCACTGTCCTACAGGGCTCCACCTGGCCATTTGCTTCTGGACCACCCACCGACAGCTGCCACCTTGCTGCCATCCCACTCTTCATCCACAGCTAAGGCAAAGGCAGAGGGCAGCCAGCAGGAGCATCCCCAGCCTTAGCTGCTCAATCTCCAAACTGGAGATCCCTCCCTACCACATCCAATGACTCAAGTAAATGCAAGTACATCCCACATTTCCACCAACCATTTTACTGTAAGTCTCAAAAGCAGCTCTTCTGTCAGAATGCTGTGGGGAGGAGGCAAGGGTTTCTGAGTCAAGGACCAGTAAGGTAGCAGGTTGGGAGAAAAAGAGCTGAAAATAGGAAGAACCAAGGATGTCTATGTCCCACTAAATCATACTTCCCACAACCCCATTCTTCCAGGGTAACGTGCACAGGTAATGCGCCAGAAGGTATATTCTAGCCAAGTTGCATCTTGGAAGATGAGCATCTTAGGATAGGCGGTATAAACAAAGAATTGTGTTTCTAAAAGACAAAATCATTACTGAAATTTATCTGCAGTTATGGCCACAGTATTCACAATCCATCCCATCTTTTAAGTTACTCTCATTGTCAATATTATTAGCCAATTGAAGTTTATCAAACTGTCCCTGGCCAAAAAAGGAATAGTCCCAGTAATATGTAAACTCAATTTAGAACTAAATTCCAACACTTAAGAAAAAAAAAAAATCCCTGATTCATCAAAAGTACATTTTATCTGTTTAGGCAAGACTTGTAACTCAATCTTTGATTTAATAAAGAATATCTTCAGTGAAAGTTGATTACCTTATATAAAAGTGAGAAATCATGTATTACAACTTTAAATCAGACAACTTTTGGTATTTTCTTAAAATTATATAAAAATAGTTTTAGTGATAAAATGCATTGGTCCCCTGGATTTTATAAAGCAGATCTGGTAGGCTTAGAAATAGAAGAAAAAAAGGAAAGAAAGAAAGAAAGAAAGAAAGAAAGAAAGAAAGAAAGAAAGAAAGAAAGAAAGAGAAAGAGAGAAAGAGAGAAATAAGTACCTGATCATGAAACTAGATTATTAAACAGGTAATACAACACAACTATATAAACAAACCTTTCAAACTCATTCATTTGCTTTGATAAAATCATGGAAATGACAGAAAAACTCAAATTGGTAGTCAAAATATAACCTCTAAGCACATTTTCCCCATGTTTTTAAACACATAAAATTGACACTAAATTCCTATTTAATATATGTCATTCATTCTAAAATTACTTTGGTTTTAAGATCAAATAGTCTTCAAATTTATTCTATGTATACAAGATAAGACATTATCAGAATGCAACAAATTCAGTGAAAATGGCCTCTGTCTCTTTCTGACCAAAATTATACTTGGAAATGTTATTAGGACCCTTTTATTGGGGAATTGATAACACTATAAGGGCAAAGTCTTGCTTCACAGTTATGATCCTTTTTCCCTCTCAAAATAAGATCACAGTGATAAAAAGGACTTTGAGAACCGTAAAAGCCCTGTGAAGACTTTATCGTACTAGAAATAAAAACCACTTATTATAAGCTAGTTGCAACTTAATGTGAGAAGACCATGACAAATTTGCTTTAAACATTTAATTTGACTGAAAACATCTGTAAATGGAAAACCTATACTCAGAATGTCCTTTAGTTACCATCTCTCCCAAATATCAAGGGGGCACTGAATTCATTATGTAACTAGGTAAGTTAAGCAGTTGTAATATCTGCATAAATAAGGAAAGACTGAATTAAAAGCTGCCTTCCTCAAAGTGTAGTGAGACCTCAAAACCACACTAACTCTAACCTTAGGTACAGAGAATCCACTGAACATTTATCCTACAAAACAAAGGTGACTTTCTCACACACCTGTTATCTATTCAAATTATTAACTATTTTTGCCTTCCTAAATAAAGGCCTATTATTTATCATTAACCATATTCTAATTTTAAATGTAATTCATTTCTTAAAAAAATAACACTGTCTTTGATCAGAAAAAGAAAAAAAAATGGCTTATGGAATATCACACAGCTTTTCACAAGCAGCTAGACAAACTTTCCCTTTTAGAAAAATTAGTCTGTATGCTACGAACTTTAAATTATTAAAGTACTATTAGCATCTGGAGTGCCACTTGATTTTTTAAGTATACTTAGACAATACAATTAAAATGTAGAAAATTGATGTGAGATATTCAAACTTGACCATGATAACAATTTACTAATCAATGCCACTTCATTTCTTTAGTGGTTTAAATACATTTTGGTAAGAGAAAGGCATTTTCAAAATGGAATTGCGAATGACATACCACAAAAACCCTTCCAAAATACAAAACAGGAAAGTGCGGGCTACCCAGAAAAACTTTTTGAATTCAAACACTATAGCTTTTAACACAGAGACCCTAAGAAATTCTACTCATCTCCATTAGAACAACATAAGTGGCACTTACTGGTATAGTACAATCCCATTTTGAAGGCATGTAATGTTCTGAATGTGTGAAAGAACAATAATAGTATACAAAATACAATTGCATAAATTATGTTCCTCACTACTATATGAGGTCATTTTTTAGACTTAAGAGTTTTAAAAGTGTTAGCTTTAAGATCCTGAAAAATTGTTTAACAGTACATTCAAAGTCTGAATCAAAAGAACTCTTTAGTGGTTCAGAATCCTCTGAGAATGTACTAACCAGGAGTAAATTCCTTTCTTTAAAAGTAAGAAATGTTTCATGTAACTCAGCAATCCAGCTCCTTTGCCCTTACAGCTGATCTTCAGCATGGCAGAGTTACCTAAAGTTAAGACCAGCAATCAGTTTTTAAAAAAACAAGTTTTGTTAATAAAAAATAAAGGTAGACTACACAGCATTTTATAACTGTCCTGGGGAAGAAGCGTTCATAGTGCACAGAAAGGACCCACACAGCTGTTTCCTGGGTCCAAAGAAATCCTGGGAAGTTCTAAATTAACCTTAATACGCTGTTGCAAAAGGAAGCAATATCCTTTTGTTCCCTCTCAGTGAGGTAGAACAAGTGACCTCCCAAATTAAAACCCAGGAGCAGATATGAAGAAAAGCAGAGTTCAGGCAAAGCCACAGAATTACATTTTGATGCCCTCCTGTTGACTGAGCTGTGACAAAGTTTTCTTGATCCGCAAAGCTGTAAGCCTAGCCGCTCCATTGGCATACCAACATTCTCTCATAATCTTAGCCATGACTCTCAAGGCCTACAAGAGAATATAAGAAAAATAATTACTGTGTGCATCACTTTCCACTGATCTAGACTAAGAACCTTAACTACGTATCTCCTCTTTGGATGACATAAGTTATTTTGTTTCAGCATTATTTGAAATAGCACTAAGCAGAAATGTAGAAATGACTTAGTTTTCCTTCAATAGGGTACTAATGCCAACTGCTAGAAAAGCATACCAAGCACACCTGAAAAAGCTGAATCATAAACCAGAACAGGGAAAGGCAAAGGAGGAACCTGGCTCGCATTACAGCTCGCCCCAAACCAAGAATCAACCGCATGAAGTTTCTCCAGGGTAAAGTAGAGGAGAAAAATAGGATCAGCTCAAAGAACTAGAACCACATATCTGTCTCTCTCCAGTTTCACTCAGCTCAGTGACTGCCCTGCCTCAACCCCAGCAGAAAACAGGTTTGTATCTGAGAGAGTAAAACAGATTTCTAGCTTGAGGAACACAAGAGCAAAATTTCACACCAGAAGCATACTGAAGGCTAAGACTGTAAGCTTTCTCCCTAAACTATGGGTAGCAACATGTAATATCCTTTTGGGGATATATTTTTTAATTGACTTTTATTATTATTTTAAGTTTTGCTAGAGGCATGTGTACTTGCCAAAGACAAACAGAAAGAGAGAAAGAGAGGGAAAGTGAGAAAGTCACACACACCCCCACCACCACTGCCATGGGGAACAGTCATGCTGCGATCCCTTCTCTATCTTCTTCTCCATTTGGGATTTCTGGCCTGGTATGTTTCTTAAGCTGCAGCAGTCAGTCATATGGGATCCAGTTGCCTTAACCATTACACCACTGGCTGGCCTTTTTTGAGGACATGTTAAGAGACTGACATTAGTGGTTCCCCCAAGAAAGCAACCTAGGTTACATCTTTCTAAAGATCACAATCAATAAGCTCCATTTACCCACACACTTCCTATCAGCTTTCAGAACTTTTCTTACATATGAAGAGAGTGAGTCTGTTCATACATTCAAGGAAAGTAATGTAAAATGCAGAAGCTGAAACAGAAAAATGCAACTTGGAAAAAGAAGTTGTAGAGAGAGAAAAACATATCAAAAATCTATCATTAACACCCTCAATAACAGCAAATACTATTATCATTTGTAATAACTATTATGACAGTTCTTATTTTTGTTTGACTTTGCATTTTCTTTTCTTGGTATAGCCTCTTTACTCATTGTTGATCCCTCATTCCCAATGTTTCTTTCATTCTCTGGGTATTTCATATTACGTCCTTTTGTCAAATGTTTAGGGATAGAGTAAACATGCCTAATAATGAACAAGAGGACTATTCAGAGAACAAATGCTCCTAGAAATTAAAAATGAATGTATAAATGGGAAAACTCAGTAGCATTGGAAGTTAAAGCTAAAAAACCTCCTAGAAAGTAGCAGAGGGGAAGAAAAAGATGAATAGGAAAGAAAAGATAAGAAAATTACAGAGGTTCATCAGGTGACATAGCATTCAAGTAACTAGAGTTGAATAGAGAAAAGAGACAAACAGGAAGAAAATCACTAAAGAACACATTTCCTAAAAAATCAGTGTTTGTTTCCAGATAAAAAAGGAACCAATGCCAAGTACATATATATTCATTCAACACACATTTATCGAATACCTACCATACACCAGGTAGTCTTTTAGGTGCCAGAGAGGTAGCAGCGAACAAACAGATGAAATCTCTGACCTCATAGAGCTTACCTGCTAGAGCGCTAATGCATGTAGTAAATAAATTACTGTTAAATGCACGAACTCTCAGATAGTGGTAGATGCTAAGCAGAACAATAATTTAGAGAAGGAGACAAAATATATTAGGCAGGAGGGTGCCACTTTAAATACATAGAGAGGTAATGTCTCAGTGACAATGTACTATCTGAACAGAGACCAGAAAGGGAACAAATGATTACAAATGAATCAGGAAGACGTGGTCCAGAAAGGAGGACTCCACATAGAAGAAGGGCAAAGGGGGTCCCAGGATGAAAGCTGGACAGTGGCTCTGAGAGCGACCAGTCCGGACTGGAAGTAGTCAAAAGGCTATGGAAAATTCCCATTTGGCTATTCTATTGGTTTCATAGTCTTGATGCATTTCAACCATTCAGATATTTATAAAATCTTAGGAAAGTAGAAGACTGAATAAGTGGTAAGTTCACAGGAAACTAAGGAAAAATGAGAGCAATGGCACTAATTTAGAATGGCGTGATAGTAATCGCAAATTACATGTGCTCTTAGTGTTAATTAACTTTTCTTCATGCTTAAAAGCCATCTGCTTAATAATCTGCTCTAATTACTGAATAACTGTATAAATACTTTCAATTTGTACTTTATGTTATAGTATTCAGAACAAATTTTGAAAAGACAAAATCTAGTCCCATTTTCATTTGTTAAACTATATCACTTGCAAATTCTTTGAGCACGCTGAGATGTATTTCAAGTGGGCCTGGATATATGATTTTCTTTTATTTATTTTTGGTGCACTCGCCAGACAGACAAAGAAAGAGAAAGGGAGGGGAAGAAAGCACCCCTTCACCCCACACATAGAGCAGTCATGCCACAATCCCTTTCTCCATTTCCCTGCTCTGTTGGAATTCTGGGCATGCACATACATGTGCCCAGCATGTTTTTCAAGCTTCCAGGACCAGGATTTGAATCCTTAACCACTAGGCCACAGGGCTGGCCTGGATATGATCTTGTTGGAGATAGTGCACTCTCTTGATATCAACGGTTCTGCTGAGTCCTACATTATTTTACAATATAAAATTTAACTACTGAAGTGATCAGTTTTTAAAATTTTTTGTAAGCTATAAAACTTCAAATCTGGAAGGATATGACTTGTTTCACCAATATTATAACAGTAACAACTAGCAATTAAAGACAGGTTAGATAAAATCTGTCTCACAAATTCTTTAAATTTATAACTAAGGAAGCATTTCTAAAACTTTTTGTAAGAACTGAGGTTGAGAAACTTGAATACTACTATAAAGCATTTCCCCAAAATTCCTGGTTAATGATCATCCAGATAAATAAAACGAAAAATCTGAAGCATCTCTGCAATCATCTTATTCAAGTTTCTCATTTTACAAAGGGATGTTAAGGTCTAGGGGACTGAAGTGATTTGTCCAAAGTCAAACTCTGAAACAGTGGCCGGGTTGGTCTAGAAAACAGGTCTCCTGACTGCTGTCCAGTATTCGTTCACCATCTGGGCTGCCCTGGCTGCAGGGAGACACTCATTTACAAAGCAGGTGCCTTAATTCATTTGGCAGACCAAAACAACGTTCTGTCACATTCGTGGCCACTGTAAATGCTCTGCGGTCTTTTCAATGTGCTTAAAATTGAACATGAAAATCAAATTACTCTTTTCACTCATTAGTTTAACTACTATATAAAAAAAAAAAGAGAATTCTCATCTGTTTTCCTTACAGAAAAATAGCAAACTTCCATTTATGAAACAGAAGTTTTAGAAAATTGCCTAAAATCAAAAAGAAATACTCACTTCACAACTCTGCCATCTGTTTGGAATATTTGGCCTTAATTTCTGTTCACAAACAACTTTTCTCATTTCTTCAACTGATGGATCAGAAGGTACAAGATCATAATAAGGCAGCTGGTAGTCCTCATGAATTCCTATATTGGCAAAAAAAATAAAATTTTTTTTTTGAAGAATTTAATCAGCTGATGCCAAACCATGAGAAGGATTATCTACAAAGCCTATCTCAGTGGCCATTACTCCATTGGGCAAGTGGAACAGGGCTGAGAGCTTTCTCCATCTCATCCACATCTATTCCAACAACCTGTCTCCCTGAGTCAGTACTGGGCGAACACCTTAAAACTAATATTGCTATGGGATCAGCAAAACAACAAAAACAAACAATAAAAACTATTTTTCACAATGGTTAACTATGAGCTGTGATGACCAGACTGATATTTTCCCCTACAGCCCTTTTATATAGCAAATGAGGGTCCTTTCTGTGAGTGCACAGCCTCTCACTTGGCACAGGGACCCACACTGTCAGTCAGACATGATTCCTCAAGGCATGTGTGAGGTAAAAGCCCCTTCCCCTGCCTGCACCTGCCAGTTACGTGTCCTACGCCATCACACAGAGATAAAGTCTGCCCCTTGCTACCTCAAAACCATGTGACCGTAGATCTCAGTCAAGCCTGGGTTCCCAAGCTCAAAAGACTATTTCTTGAGTAAACACTGAAAAGTCAGGGACCAGCAGATGGCGTGGTGGGTTAAGGTGCTGGACACTCCCACATGGCTGACCAGGGTTCAAGTCCTGAATCTGGTGGCTTGCTTTCTCACTTCCTCTCTCTCACGCTCTCCCTCTGTCTCTCTCTGGTCAAATTAAAAAATAAATGAATGAATAAATAAAATAAATAATAAAAAAAGGTGCTTAAAAAAAAAAAACACTGAAAAGTGTTCATCTTGAAATGAAACCTAGACATTAGAACAAACTTAAAGAGGCAATCTAATGTAATTTTATTTGTATATATAATTTCTAACTCTCAAGCTGGAAAAAAACCCGCAATTGTGGGACCAGCAGATGGAGTAATGGTTACATTGCTGGACTCCCACATGACCAACCACAGTCTGAATCCCAGACCAGGTGTCTTGAAAATCATGCTGGGAGGGTGTGTGTTCATGCCTGTCCAAGATCCCAGGAGGAGAATGGAGGATCAGGGATTGTGTTGTGGTCACTCCCATGGAGTGTGTGTATATGTGTGTGTGTCTCACTTTCCCTCTCACTATCTCTGTCTCTCTCTCTCTGATGAACACAACATGTGCCCTAAGGCAAAAATCTCTCTCTCAAAAAAGAAAAAAAAAAACAAACCATAATAGGTTTGAACCAGGTATATGCTAGATCAGCTTCCTAACTGGCCTCTCAAGCAGCTGTCCATTCCTAAATACTATGCTCTAAGACACTGAGGAGCTGAGTTTCAATGCTCCCTAAGAATCAGATGAAAACAGGAAAGGAACACAGTAGGCTAAAGCTATGTACGTGCATGTCATGCCATCTCCCCTCCCAATGGGTTCTACCGTCCTTGTTTTCTCTGGCACTCTCAGCAACGGCCTATTTCAGATGCTGTATAATTTATACTATATAATTTATTCAATAAAATAAAGGGCGGCAATTCTTAAATTACTTCTGTGCATGACAAACTTTGGGGGGATGGGATAGCAATTTACCACCAATGGAACATCGTCGAGCAATTTCCCAGAACACTAAGCCCATTGCATAGATGTCGGCACGTTTGAAGGATTCAAAATGTTTCATATTTATAGAATCATCGAGAACTTCAGGGGCCATGTACCTAAAAAAGCAATTAACATTTTATTGAATGGTGGTCACATTATTTTTGAACTGTTTCATAAATTTGTTTTTACTCTTAAGAATTCAAAATAAGACTTTTCCCACCCTTTAGCATGGCTCTGCTGTTCTTTTTTTTTTGGAGAGGTTTTTACTACAGAGCATGTGTGCTTGCCAGAAAGACAGAAAGCAATAAATCACCCCCCATGAGGGGATAACCACACTGCAATCCCTTCTCCTCCATTCTCCTCTTGGGATTTTGGGCATTCACGCAAACATGCCCGGCGTGTATCCAAGCCACCGGGTCTGGGACTTGAACCACGGTTTACTACATGGGAGTCCAGTGACATAGCCATTACACCAATTCCTGGTCCTGGCTCTGCTGTTCTTAAAAATGATTCATACTTAGGGACTAGCAGTTAGCATAATGGCTATATCGCTGGACTCCCATGCAGTCGACCGTGGTTCGCGTCCTGGACCCGGTGGCTTAAAATTCATGCCGGGCAGGTGTGTGTGAGTGCCAAAGTTCCCAAGAGGAGAATGGAGGAGAAGGAATTACGGAGTGGCCATTCCCCCTGGGCGGGTGATTTCTCACTTTCTGTCTCTCTGTCTCTGTCTGTCTGGCGAGCGCACGCGCCCTGTAGCAAAAACTTCTCAAAAAAAAAAAAAAAAGAAGAAAAAAATTATTCAACTTACAAAAAATGTCCTAAAGTTTAGAGAGCAGAACGTGAAAACCCAGCCCCAAATGATAGCATATTAATGTTCTGATAAACATCCTTTCAGAATCTCTATCTTTATACAGATAGATATATACATATAATAACATATAACTGAGGTCCTATTAGACTTAGGAAAAATACCTAAAATCCACACTAGTTTACAAATCAGTGATGTCAATTAGATTCCACAAAATGCTAAAACAATGCTACCTGCCTTATGATCTTGGTTTCCAATGAAAGACACACATTAACAGCTGTGACCGTTACAAATGTCCTAATGTACCATGCTTGCTTTCACGTACAGCAAGCAGCTACATATTTTATTCTAGAAGGCTTCTCACTAAAACAGGATGAAAAAAGGGGCAGGATCATATGACAGGGACTAAAACCATAGATACAACAGAATGCCAGTCCTCATACTGATGATGCTATATTATCACTTGAAAAATCTACTAAGATTACATATAGGTTAGGCCCCACAGAAACCTATAGCAACCACTGTCAAGGAACCCTTAACTAGTCAAGAATTATGAGATTTCCCAATGAATTCAGAAACCCATATTCCACTAAGTGCAATTTAAATACTCTAAAATTGCTGGCTCTGTCCAAGGCCAAGGCAGATGTTTTTGAAGAAATGTGGTAACAGATGTGATAAGGGCTTTCAGTCAGAAAGGTCCAGGTTCAAATACCAGCTCTTCAGCTTACCATCCATGTGAAGTTGGCTACATTACTTAACCTCTGGCAGGTATTTTCTTCATCTGTGAATTAAAGGTAATGACTCCTACCTCATTAGGTTCTTTGGAGGACCCAAGGACTCCACAAATCCTACTGAGGATTTACCACACATTAAGCACTGTGATAAATGCTGGGAACACAGGCTGCTCTCAAGCAGCTAGCAAACCAGTGGGTATACAAACACACGGGCAGTTACAACATAACATGGTAAAAGGAGCCTCCGTGCTTCAAGTTCAGTGTGTTCTGAGAGTCCTTAGAAGGAACACTTATAGTCTTGAACATCAGAAAAGGATTCCTAGGAGGAGGAATTAGGGAAACAGCAGAGAATGCAACACATGCTCTGGGACATAGCACATGCAAAAATTCTAAAGAAGTGAAAACTGAAAATGTGAAAAAAAAAAAAAACACAAAAAAAACTGAGATAACTAAAGCATGACATTTCAAGAGGGCATTAAATGAGATGATATATGGAAAAGACCAGTTAAGATGATTGGCACATAGTAGGTATTCTATAAATGTTAGTTCCTATCGTTACTGTAATTAACACAACTAATGGTGATATTTTCTAGAAGGGCCACCTTTCATCGGCAGGCATCTTTTTAAATCATGAAACCTTGACTTCAAAGTAGGTAAAACTGATCTTCTACCTGTGGGCAAACTAATAATAACTGTAAACTTGAGTTTCAGAAAAGATATGTATACAACAAATGAGAAGGAGAAGAAAAATATGCTGCTTTCAGAAGATATTAAATGCTATTTATTCACAAGTATACCTTTTTGTTCCCACTCTATGGTTTGGAGCAATATCAATTGTATCTGTGGCTGAATCATGTCTCACTGCCAGTCCTAAGTCTGCAATACAGCAAGTTCCATTCTTCTTTACCAAGATATTCTTTGATCTCAAATCTCTATGTGCAATGGCTGGTTTTCCTAAAATAAATAAATAAATAAAATAATAAAATAAAAAATAAAAAAAAATAAACATCATTACTTAAAAGGTAATACTGATCACAACCGCTGCACTGAGATTTAAAGGCCTCCCCTCCTAGTGTCAAAGCATTTCAGCTTTTATTACCCACAACACCTAATCACTACCCAAAAGTTGCTGAAACTACATTTCTTTAAAGAAAATGGAGACAATACAATGCTCTAAATGATGATGTTCAAAATGTAACTATAACAATTCCAAGATGAGGGAGAACATATTTCGGTTTGCTATTTGGTGCCTTATGAGTTCAGGTATAAGAGCCTAGACACAGACTGATGTTCCAGCCAGGAGCCCAGTATGTAGGTTGCTTCCCTTTCCTATCAACTACAAGAGACTCAGTATTAACCTTAAATACTAACCATTAGAAAAAGTGCTATGAAAAATAATTATAGGCTGGGAACCAGCAGTTAGCGTAATGGCTATGTTGCTGGACTCCCACGTAGTCGACCGCAGTTCACGTCCCGGACCCGGTGGCTTAAAACTCACGCTGGGCGCTGTGCGTGCGTGCCCAAGATCCCAAGAGGGGAATGGAGGAGAAGGGATTGCGGTGTGACCATTCCCTCTGGGGGGGTGATTTCTCACTTTCTGTCTCTATGTCTCTCTCTGTCTGTTTGGCGAGTGCACGCACCCTATAGCAAAAATCTCTCCAAAAAATAATAATAATAATAATAATAATTATAGGCTTAGGCCAGCAGGTGGTGTGGAGGTTAAGATGGCTGGATGCCACATGGCCAACTTTGTGGTTTGAGTCCTGGACCCGATGGCTTGAAAAACATGCAGGGCACCTAAGTTTATGTGCCTAGAATTCCAAGAAGAAAATAAAAGAGAAGGGATTGCAGTGTGGCCATTCTCCAGGGCAGAGGGTGACTTTTTTTCACCTTCCCCTGTTTCTCCAACAAGCACACAGTCTATAACAAAAACATAAAAAGAAAAATAAAAAAGAAAAAGGCTCAATTTGGTGGCACAGCTGGTAGCTTCCAGCACTGCAGGAAGCCACATGGCCAACCATGGCTCAGAACCCCAGCTGGCGTGAACACATGCTAGGCACATGTGTGCACGCCTAAGATCTTGATGAGCTGGAGAGCCAGGGAAAGGGGATCTTGGCATGACAAGACTGTGTTGAGGGTGCTTTTCTCTCTCTCTCATATACGTGCATAGGCTCTCTATCATGAATAGAGTAAGAAATAAACTTAAAAAATAAGAATTACAATGTGGAAAACTTGGACCCTTCAAATACTGTAGGTAGGAATGGAAAATGGTTCAGGCACTTTGAAAAAAGTTTGGCAATTCCTCAAACCATTTATATATGATCCAGTAATTCAGTTCCTAGGTATATACCCAAGATAACTGAAAATATTTGTCCACATAAAAACTTGTGAATCAACATTCACTGCAACAGTATTCGTAAAAGCCCCAAAGTAGATACAACCCAAATATCCATCTGATGAACAGGCACATGAAATGTGAGGTATCCAAACACTGGATTATCACTCAGCCATAAAAAGGAAGGAAGTACTCATACATGCTGTACCATGGGTGATTCCTGAAAACATGCTAGATGAAAGAAGCCAGTCACAAAAGCCCACGCAACTGTATGAGTCCATCTATATGAAATGTCCAGAACAAGCAAATCGACAGAGACAGAAAATAGATTGGAGGAAAAAGAGGTGACTGCTATTAGCCACAGGATTTCTTTTCAGAGTTATGGAAATGTTCTAGGATTGTGGTGATGGTTGCAACCGTGAAAATTCTAAAAACCACTGAAGTGTATATATATATACCTTAACTAGAGGAATTGAATAATCTCTGACAGGGCTGGCTAAGACAGAGCACATGTGCAGTAGTGTGGGAGCAGAGACGTCTTCAGGCAGTGGGTAGACAATTGCCAGAGCAGTGAGGGATTCTGGCGCCTGTCTCCCACATAGCAGGAATACTGCAGCATAACAAAAATTTCCTGGGACCAGCAGTTAGCGTAATGGCTATGTCGCTAAACTCCCATGTAGTCGACTGTGGTTCAAGTACCGGACCCGGTGGCTTAAACTCACGCCAAGCGCGTATGCGTGCATGCCCAAGATCCCGAGAGGAGAATGAAGAAGGGATTGTGGCATGGTGATTTCTCGATTTCTGTCTATCTCTCTTTCCAGTGAACGCATGTGCCCTATAGCAAAAAACTCTTCAAAAGAAAAAAAAAAAATTCCTAACTAAAATCTAGTCTTTAATTTTCCAACTATAAAATTACCTCATGTAGTCTCCGTATCTCAGGTCAAATAAAATTATTAGATGAGCATATATTACATAGCACATTGGTGTTTACCGAACAGTTTCACATTTCATTCGATATTACACATAAAATACATCCTCTTGGACTTGAACTCGAAAACTAAGATCAAGCGCCAACTGAATGATACTTTTAAGAACTCACAAAAGTATCAGTGTTGTTATAATGATTAGAAAATCTCTACACAAATTCCCAGCTTCCTAACTCTGAGATTTTCAACAGAAAAATAAAATGCTCCCACCTAAAAAATTCATATTAAGTATCTAATTAGGCTGACTTCTATCTTCTGAATAGACATTAGATTCCTGTGAATTTAAAACTTAAATAATAAAACTGCTTTAGACCTACCTTGGGTACCAACAATCTCCATGTGAAGATGGGCAAGACCACTTGCTGTGGACAGAGCGAGTTTTATCATTCCTTCCACAGTAACCGTGTATCTGTTCAAGTAATCAAAGAGGGATCCATGCTCATGATAATCTGACACCAACCAGAGCTGAGTCCACGTACCATTGTCTGCAAAATAGAAGAACAATGTTCCAGAGGGTTATAGAACATTTACGACTTACTTACCCAAAAGTGATCACTTTTACTTTCCATACTGAAATAAGACACCACTTAAGTTTGTGTGCATTTTCTTGAATACTGGGTTTGTCTCATACTTTTACATACATATCCTTTGGACCCTCAGAATAAGCCCCCTGTTCTTGAGATAAGACAAGGATAATCAACCCACTTAAAAGACCAGCAGTCATGTTCAAAGATGCTAATTTTATTGTGCCCACACAGATAAGTAGCAGAGCCGGGACTCTTGGGTGCCTAGAAAAATACCTGGGTCAGTCCAGGTGCTCAGTGGCTGTTTCTGGAAGGAGAGAAGGAACAAAGGAGGGCACTGCAGAGGGAAGGAGGAGGATAAGAAGCGTGTGGAGCCCAGCATGGCCACAGGGAGAACGGAACAGTGTGGGAACACACTGAGTGAGCTTCAGTGAGAAATGACAAGTCCACAAAGATGCCAGACAAGTCCAAGATTATTACTACCTTAGAAAAACAAAAACAGTGGTAGCTCTGACACATGGAGAAGCTGAGATGAGAACTTAAGTATTAGGTGGAAAACAAGCTGAGAAAGCTGGGCCAGAACCCAATTTATACAAGATAATTTTGAACCTAAACTACTTGAAAAGGGGCTCTAAAGTTCCTTTGTAAGCCAGTAACACAAATTTGAACTGTGAATTCTTTTTCCCTTAAGTCTGTTTGTTTACTTTCTCTATGACCAAGAGAGTGAGGGAAAAGAGAGAGAACCCCCAACAGGGTCTTGACACCACTATCCACCCCCAGCTTCAGCCAGCCCTGTATCTTGGGCACATGCATACCCAAGATATTCAGAAGGGTCTCCAGACAGGAACACAAAACCTTCCCATTGCGTCATTGCGTAAGCCTCACAGAGTAACACTTTAACACTGTGCCACCATCAGTCCCTGAAATGCTGTTTCCCAATGGACTTAGGATAACAACGCTGGCTAGACTCCTAGGAAAGAGTAAGCCTATCCACCAGAGTTTGAACTGAGATTTAGTATTTCATTATCATGAAATAAAAAGCATCACAACATTAGGAGACAGCACAATTCAGTAACAGAACACTTGGAATCCTTCTGACCTGGATTGGAATCCAGAGCCTGGCTGTTACTGACTGTGTGACCTCACACAAGTGTCATAACCACTGAGCCTGCTTGTTCTTTTATACAATAAGAATAACAGCTTACTCTGTAACACAATCAAGAAGATTTAAAAAACAGAATACTAGATTCTTTTTTTTTTTTAAAGTATAGTGACTGGCACGTGGGAATCTAAAAAATGACTTTTTTTTCTTTTCC